AGGGTTGTTTGTTTGTAATTAATTAAGCACAAAGCTACACAATGGGCTATATGTTCTCTGCCCACCACGGGTATCGAAACCCAGATTCTAGCGTTGTAAGTCCTCAGACATACCGCTGTGCAACTGGGGGGGGGGGGGGCTGTATGGCAAGCCCGAATCTGAGTATAAATAAATATTTTTAGGCTAGACTCTGTTTGCAAAAATAAATAAAATAAACAAATAAAATCAGACCCGGTCCAGTTATGTTCATCCAAATTAAGGTCTGATCGGATCCTGACTCGGATTTATCTCTGGTTCTTCTACCTTAAATGCCGATTTCAATGTGAAAACAGTTTTGAACAGATTTTTTGGAATTAACGGAGGTATAAACTTACTTAGGTATTAAAGATCACTAAAAAAATTGATTTTCTGTAAAGTTTTTAATGACTCGTTAATGATCTCTTTAAGTGTTTTCTATATTGTTCCCAAAAAATATTATAAATAATGCCATTATTTCCAAGAATTTTGGTAAAGACGTAGTAGCTTTAGTTGGCACTAGATGGCACAACAGTCTTAATTTTCTGATTCTGCACTTAAGTATGACTGTTTATTTTCTTTGTTTTACATTAGAGGTTTTCACAGATCTTTGATTAGTTGATGCACTCCTGTTACTTTTAATATAATTAATTCAACTAGTTACAGAAAGACGATGTTGTTGCTAATAGAATTATGAATGGACACTGTTTTTTTTTGTTTTCCATTGAAGATGGCGCTGTCGTCACCAAGCTTAAAAGTAGAAACTTGTTTCGTTGGATGGTTTCAAAACTAACATACCTAAATTTGAACTATTGACCTGAGGGTAGGCAGCCAATCAGCAGCATCCTACCGCCCAAATTCACGCTAAGGGGATGACTTTTACTCTTATAATGCACCCAGAGTTTATCTGAAGCGTGAAGAGTATTATGTGGTATTGCCAGTTCCGAAACCCAGAGTATTACTTTAGGGTCAACCAGTGCAAAATTTTCATTGGGAAAAAAAAATCCCTTTACTGTTCAATTGTGGAAACGTTAACTTCAATATTGTTCGACTATGGAAAGCCTAACCTTAATATTGTTGAACTATGGAAAGCCTAACCTTAATATTGTTCGACTATGGAAAGCCTAACCTCAATATTGTTCGACTGTGGAAAGCCTAACCTTAATATTGTTGAACTATGAAAAAACAAACCTAACTTCAATGTTTCTTTTCAATTAAGAAAAAGCAAATATTGTTAGCAACAAAACAAATTTATATGGAGTCCTATTAAGAACTGATAACTGAAGTATTACTCTAACCAGTTTTAATATAGTTCTATTAAGAACTGAGAACTGAAGTATTACTCTAACCAGTTTTAATATAGTTCTATTAGGAACTGAGAACTGAAGTATTACTCTAACCAGTTTTAATATAGTTCTATTAGGAACTGAGAACTGAAGTATTACTCTAACCAGTTTTAATATAGTTCTATTAGGAACTGAGAACTGAAGTATTACTCTAACCAGTTTTAATTTAGTTCTACTAGGAACTGAGAACTGAAGTATTACTCTAACCAGTTTTAATATAGTCCTATTAAGAACTGAAGTATTACTCTAACCAGTTTTAATATAGTTCTATTAGGAACTGAGAAGTGAAGTATTACTCTAACCAGTTTTAATATAGTTCTATTAGGAACTGAGAACTGAAGTATTACTCTAACCAGTTTTAATATAGTTCTATTAAGAACTGAAAACTATAAGTTTAGTCCAATGAGGTAGAATTTATATCGCGTACATGGTAGTCGAGCTACTAGTTAATCCCTAATGGATAAAGACGTTATGAATACACCGTCAACAAAAATATATATTAACATAATCCCTAATGGATAAAGATCCTGTAAATACACCTTCAACAAAAATATATATTAACATAATCCCTAATGGATAAAGACGTTGTGAATACACCGTCAACAAAAATATATATTAACATAATCCCTAATGGATAAAGACGTTATGAATACACCGTCAACAAAAATATATATTAACATAATCCCTAATGGATAAAGATCCTGTGAAAACACCGTCAACAAAAGGTATCTAAGTAAAAAAAAATCAGAGATCTAAGTAAAAAAAAAAGCATCACTTTAGAGAACTAACCACAGTGTTCTTCATGAACCACAGTGTTCTTCATGAATGAAAGTGCTGGTCGATTACACATACTAAATGCCCCCCCCCCCTACAATGGCACATCGGTATATCTGCGAACTTACTACACCGAGTTTCGATACCCGTGGTGGGCATAGCACAGATAGCCCATTGTGTAGCTTTGTGCTTAATTACAAATAAACAAACACATACTAAGTTATAAACTGTTTGTGTCTTTCCACTGCCTCAGCGATAAATCTGAGGGTTTATGATGCTGCTAACAGTCGGGTTTCTATACGCATGGTGGGCATAGCACAGATAGCCCATTGTGTAGCTTTGTGCTTAATTACAAATAAACAAACACATACTAAGTTATAAAATATTTGTGGCTTTCCACTGCCTCAGCGATAAGGGTTTATGATGCTGCTAACAATCGGGTTTCTATACGCATGGTGGGCAGAGCACAAATAGTCCATTGTGTATCCTTGCGCTTTTACAACAAACAAACACAAAAACCACACCTCTGTGTCCATTGTTTTCATAAACGTAGTTGTATGAACAGTGGACGTAGTTGTAAGAAGAGTGGACGTAGTTGTATGAACAGTGGACGTAGTTGTATGAACAGTGGACGTAGTTGTAAGAGAGTGGACGTAGTTGTATGAACAGTGGACGTAGTTGCATAGTACAGTGGACGTAGTTGTATGAACAGGGAACGTAGTTGTATGAACAGTGGACGTAGTTGTATGTACAGTGGACGTAGTTATATGAACAGGGAACGTAGTTGCATGTACAGTGGACGTAGTTGTATGAGCAGTGGACGTAGTTGTAAGAAGAGTGGACGTAGTTGTATGTACAGTGGACGTAGTTGTATGAACAGGGAACGTAGTTGTATGTACAGTGGACGTAATTGCATGAACAGGGAACGTAGTTGTAAGAAGAGTGGACGTAGTTGTATGAACAGGGAACGTAATTTATAAACAGTGGACGTAGATCGTAATATAAATTAATAAAGTTCATATATATATATATATATATATAAGTGTGTTGTCTCTGCTTTGCCCACCCCGGGTATCAAAACCCGGGTTTTAGTGCTTTGAGCCTCTAGATTTACTGCTGAGAAATTGGGGGAGGGGAATCGGTTACATGAATTCAAAGCTTCGTAAAAAGATTATTATATTAAAGCTGTCTATTACCGATATCTTGGATATATGATAAAACATTCATTTAAGTGACCTCGGAAGATAAACAGATAATAATTTTGTTATTACACCACAACTGTAGCTGTGATTGTTATTAAAACTACCTAATAATATTCGTGTAATCATAAGATACATCATCAACTAGAATCGACATTCATGTGGACCTTTAATAACCACGTTATTCGGTGTTTACAATAAAAGCGAGCAACATTCGACATCAGCTTCTTTCATGCACGAGTAATGTGAGATTTAATATCTGGACTTAAACCGGCTCTTTTCCGTACGGCACTTAGTGAAAAAAAAAAAACGGGAGTTTCTGGACGTGGGCTTCTCATTAAAGAGATTCTGACTAAAGCCGAGTGTCGTTGCAGGAGTGGAAGTTCTATTATGCCTGCTGGTCATAATCAATAATCGGCAAATGTTTAGTTTTGACGCTATCTAAAGAGGGCGCTAACAGTAGGCCTCTCTATGCGGGCTTTTCCGACAATCTTCTCTCTCTTCAATCGGGCACCACCGATGGGAGCGCAGCGTTGACTTTAGTGCTCGTAGAGAACACTGTAACCTCTAGAAGTGTTAGAGGCTACGTTAGATTCCAATACGTCAGATATCATGTTCTCATCTACAGCTGCTCTTACACGTTAGCTCCCAGACTGACAGAGGATAATCTCTAGTACTGTAAC